ACAAGTGGTAGGGGAGGCTGTTCACCTCATGGTAGACAGGAAGAGGCCAGAGACCAGAATAACCTTCAATGGCATGCCCCTCGTGATCGCTTTCTTCTAACTGGGCCCTACCTTCGGAAGTTTCCAGAACCTCCCAAAATAGTGATACTGGCTGGGGCCCAAGTATTTTGTACATGGGACTGTGGAGACATTTCATATCCAAACCATAACAGGGAGATCAGTTTGATCAGCAAAAGCCAGACTTAGAAAAGACCTCTGTGAAGATGGGTTGGAACCTGCAAGGACCCACTGACACTTGAACAGAGCAAGGAGACACAATGTCCTGCTTGCAAGCACACTTCTGCTCTTCATTTGCTCCTAACTCTTGCCTTTCTGCTCCTCTATTTAAGAAAGAAGGGCACTTTGGGAATTGTATTAACATAATCTCTGGTTTACAACATTCTTTGTTTTTATTTATTTTATATACTTAGTTTTTAAAATTTCATTTAGAATTTTTATTTTATTTTTGTGCCAGTCCTGGGGCTTGAACTCAAGGCCTAAGCACTGTTCCTGAACTTTTGTGCTCAAGGCTAGTATTCTAACCACTTGAGCCAAAGCTCCACTTCTGTTTTTTGGGGGCAGTTAACTGGTGATAAGAGTCTCATGGACTTTTCTGCCTAGGTTGGCTTTAACCCTTGATCTCAAATCTCAGCCTCCTGAGTAGCTAGGATTACAGGTGTGTGCCCCTGGTATCTGGCTATTTAGTAATTATTAATTACACCTTTAGCATCTACAATACTCTAATCCCAAAGGCCTGGCTCTCAATAGTAGTATTCATTCCTCATCTGCCCACAAGAGACTGAAGTTGGGATCATACTAGCTTCAGAACCCTCACCTCTGGCTCTCCTTTCTAAACAAGTTTAATAGCTTCTCTCTGCTTTCTTGAAAGGGTTTCTACCTTTGTAACTCTCCTAAAAGGACACTGTGCTGTTAAGTGAATTAGGGAACCTCATTTCTCATATTGAATTGCTAAGACTTAGGCATGGGTTCGCTAAGCTTGTCTATTGCTGAACACTGCCTAATACTCCACTGGGGGCTGTGCTCCCCTTTTCTCTGATGACAGGGATTTCAGGACTTTGCGGTTCACAACACAGCCTTAGTCCTCTCCCTTCCAGGACCCTCCCTTGGGTACCACACCTGTGGGAGCTGCATGATGATCTGCCATTACAAGGGGATGCCAACTTCTCCTGACACCTTGCTGTCCCTGTGCAAGGCAGCTAGAGGATCCACACCCCCTCTAATAGCTGGTGTCATCAGAGTTGTTAATATTGGCCACTCATTAGCAGTTTAGAACCAGCTGGGGTCATCAGCATTGAGAATTAGTGCAATTTAAATTCACCAGTAGTACCATTTGATCAAAGTAACGTCTCCCAGTGAACATTTGGGAACATAGAAAAGCACTGAAGAAGGGAAGAACATAATAGCAATAGTTTAACAAGGCTTAATATTCCTTAACAATGAAGCAATATTTACCCCACAAAAAAAGGACAGTCTACAATGGCAATTTATTTAAGGCCTTTTGGGAGCCCTCTTCTTAGATCTGGCCGGTGCTAAAGCACAGCCCTGCCCATCTTAGGGTCCCCAAAGTGCCACTGCACTGTCCCAGGTGCCCAGGGAGCAGGTTCCATGCTGCAGTTAAAAGCTGAGGACGTGTTTGACATTCATAAAACTGCCCTCCCAGGAGGCTCGTGTTCTCTACGGTGGCTTCAATCCCCGCCTCTTTTGATCTGGGAGGAAGGGACTGGAAGTTCTTATTAAATACTTAATAAAAGCAATTCTTTTATTTTGAAATCCATTTTCAGAAACTCCTTTGTAGCATTTGACTTCCTTTCAGCACGAGATGCCATTAAGGAGAGCAGAACCGGTCTGCAGAATAACAAGGACGTGGCGGCGACCAGGCGGCGGTAATTGAATGAAGGTATCCCCCACGGCACCCAGACTCAATTTCTAGGGGCACGGCAGACTTCACAAGCACTTGAGAAAGAGACTCAGTAATGGTAACCCAGCCCAGCATGAACTAAGTCTGCTCACAGCATCTTCTGGTGACTACATTCCAAATTACTGACGTTCACTAGGGGTCAGGTGCTGTGTGAGGCAGAGCAGGGGGGAGGAGGACAGAGCCCCGGCTCTCCAGAGTATTGCCATCTACTTGGAAGATGCATAATTGTGTAACTGTGAAACAAGATGAGCAAAGTCAGTGCTGTTACTAGGCACTGTGGGGCGGCGGGGGGGGGGAATTACAATCTGAGGTACACTCACAGGGACACAAAACCCTTCAACTAATAACTCAGTATTGTTAGTGTAAAGAAATAATGTGTGTTGATTGTGTGTTCTGAAACTTTTCTTGTGTATTGGTTCTGGGGCTTGAACTCCAGGCATTGGCACTGTCTCTGAGCATTCGTGCTCATGGCTAGAGCTCTACCACTTGGGTCACAGCTCCACTTTGAGCTTTGTGAAATAAGAGTTTCAGACTTTCCTGTCCAGGCTGGTTCTGAACTGCAATCCTCATATCTCAGCCTCCTGACTAGCTAGGATTATAGGTGCGCACCTGGCTATGTCCTGCGACTTTTAAGATAGAGAATTGTTAAATTAGCAGACATGAACATTATAAAGACATGTGATGCTGTTGGAGTAGGCTTGTTCATTTCCTGTGTTCTTATGTCACCAAGCAAAGGAGCCTTCAAAATATGAATTTTACAGATGAAAAGAGCTACACCACTGAGATTTCTTACTGTCTTCACAAAACTGTGAGGCAGAAAACAGTTCCATAACAACTCCAATCCGGCAAACCAAACTCTACCAGTGAAGAACACGGTTTCTTGGAGCAGATTTCTGACAAGGCGGCTCCCTGCCACAGGGCGGCCTCATCTCTGACAGGTAAGGTGGGAGGCTAAGCTCCAAGGACAGCCTGCCAATGGGCCTGGAAGAAATACCGCCTTTAAACTCCTCACTGACTTTATGATGGCAAATGTCCTGGTGAGCAGATCTGTGTGTGCATCAGCCCAATAGCCAGAGACCCTGTGGATGTAACCTCTGTGTGTGTGTGTGCGTGCATGCGTGCGCACACATGTTTATGTAACTCAGGGACCACAGCAACTGGCAATCTTTCTTCTCTCCCTGCCATTGATGAGCAGTTGCACTAACCCCAGTGCACAGTCTTCTACTGCAAACAGTTACTCAGCCTCGAGGTTCAGATGTACTGTGCATAAGTGATGTCCAATGAGGAGAGAGTCAAAGGGAGATCCTCTACTTGCTTTATGTAGTCACCTGACCAATGAGATCAAGAAAAATCTTTGTTTCCACACAGGCTGAGCTTCATCAATGGCTGGTTTGCATTGCGATGACCTTGTCAGTATGAGGGAAATGACACAGAAACCACTGTATAGGATGCACATCAAGATACCCTGTGATCTTAGCTCAAGTTCTGGACAGTAACCTTCTAAGTTTAAAAAGTCAACTGATGATTCTAACATGCCTGAGGGCTTTGCCTCTTTGGAGGAGTTTCCATGAACTATACTGGAAGAGAGTGGCACAGGCCAGAATGCAGGTACTGTGCAGGCTTTCTACAAGGAGAGTCATTCAAAGACCAAACCACCAGGAAGATGCTGAAACACACAGTCCCCAATAAGGAAGGGCAGGAAAGCTGCAGAGAGGGCTCCCGCTATGGTGCTCAGGCCTTAAATACCAGGTGAAGTATGTTCCTTGTCCTAGCCCTCCCCACCTCCCTCTCCACCCCTCCACCCCCGCCCCGCCCCAGTCCTGTGAAGCTTCTACAATCTCCAGTGAGGTTCCCCAGCCTGTAATGTCCACAGCACTGCCCAGGTCCTGGACTGGGGGTACAGCAGTCCCATGTGTGCACATGGCCAAAGCATGTTCTTACTTCATAAAACACAGAAGCTAGAAATGACATTCTAACATGCTTCGCTATTTTCTCAAAACATGATATTAATTTTGATAATTAAAACCAGAACGCGCGCTGGCTTGGAGTCTGGGTGAGATGGAGGCTGGGGTCCTGGCTCTGACACCAGCGTGGCCGTCAGCAGGCCCCACTTCACTGCCAGCTCTGCTGAATACAAGGCTTGTGCCCAGCACCCCTTCAGTCCTTTTAGATATCACCATTCCATTACCCAAGGGCTGCTGTTTATCCAAGAACTCTTTCCAGCCTCATGTGCACTCCAGCAAGGAGTCCCACTGCTGGAAATGCTCTTCACACATGGAGTGCAGCATCTCTACAGGGACCAAGCAGCTCAGGCCCTCTGTGACGATAGAGAATCATTCAGGACACAACCACACATTTGTGCTGGGGACCTCCTGCCTCCACAACCACAGTGGAGTCTCTGTCACCAGGCCTTCCAGACATTTGACCATCGTGGCCTGGAGGACTAAGATACCTGAAAAAACTGGTTACAACCAGCATTAGGCACATTCTTTTGTGATTTGTTGCAGACATTATTTTTCATATGCAAAATAGACAATCACTGTCTTAAAACATTTCCTAGGTTCGTAGCTCTTACAGTCTTTATAGAAAGCAGCTCCTCTCTACCTCAGACCGCACTATGAAGATCTATCCATGCACAAACCCTGTCACCAGTGCTACATATAAGCAGGCCATGAGCTATCACACACATTGCAGTCTGCTTACAGGCAGACCCCGGTCTCAGTTTTCATGAGCTGGTGTGGTACACTCACAGGCATGTTTAAGCAGGCTCCCCCGCTCCTCATGGAGCTCCTTCACATCTGAATGGAAACTACCAGGAACAAATAGGGCCTACTCTCCTATGCTTGGTCTTGTATACAGACCCGGCTCTACTATAGCAACTATAAATAGTCTGAGCACAAAAGTATGAATTCCATAAGCATTCATCTACTAGTTCAAATAGCATATTTCCCAATCAACAAAACACTGACACCACCACAAGCAGGGAACACACAGAGAGCAGACAAGGGACATTACTCCCTACCTGGAGTAGTAAGACTCTACCCCCAGGGCCTCACGGACACTGGTGATGTGATGCTCCAGGGCTGAGCTGGTGGCTGGTGGAAGGGTCCCGCTGCTGCCTGCCTGGAAGTCACTGGGGTTCTCTGTTGTGTTATCACCCAGGTAGTGTTCATGAAACTTCAGAATTCCTGAAACAAGGCAGGCACAGCCAATGTCAGGCATGCAGTTTCAACAAAGACAATTCCAACAAAGGGGTCAGGAATGCCAATACTACTGGACTGTGTAGACTGCTCAGAATCTAAGGGCTCAGGGCTGGTGGAGAGGTGGGGCTGAATTTCAATAACTGAAGCCAAGATATAAGCTTTGGCTTCTGAAGGTACTTTGGAAGCTCCTGGAGGTAAGGACTGCGTCCTGTGGAGCCTCTTCTGATGCTTTGCAGGGGCACTGGCTCCTACAGTCTGCTTTCAGAACCCAGGTAGATTCTCCAGAGACTGAATCACAAGCAAAAATAGAACTAGCCTAGAGGAAACTGCCACCAAGGACCTCTATTTTATCAAAATAAGTATAGAGTACAAAGGCCAAATAAAGACATTCGAAACCATTTTTAAATAAAACTAACTGGTCAATGACCATTAATATATTAAAGGAGAAAAAAAACCACACCATCAAAGTCTGCCTGAAAGGGAGGCAATAAGCACAGGACATATTCTCGAATGGTAATGAGGTGTGTCAGCCCTCGGGAACGCCATGCTCTCTGATTGGACTGCAGTCCCCAGCCAAAGCTTCAGAGTCTCATTAAGAGCAAAGAGGAACAAAAGAAGAAACAATGGGACTGTCACTGCACAATGGCTCATTATTACAGGATTCTGGATATACCACCTGTCAAATCATGTCCCCAAGACGCAGCAATCACAGAAAGAGATAGCTACCCAGCCATCGCCAACCTCACCCACGTGTGCCAGTGTCCCTCTGGGGCCTTGCTGAAGCTGACATCCTTCACCAAGTCACCATGAAAATCACAACTTGAAACTCTTGGCATACAATCTAAGGATCAGAGGTCAGGAAGTTCCTCATGGAAAGCCCATGAGAACATGGAATTAAAGAGGAAAGATTTTCTGAAAAACAATGCTGACATAGGACAGGTAGGCATGTATGCTTGGAACCCAGGAAGCATCTGGGAGCTGTCATCCCAAGCTATCATTTTTTTTTAACCCAAAGGGAAAGAAACACAATCAAGAAAATCTTGTCAATTCTTCTTGGCAGTTGAACTTTTTACAGATATTCAAGAAGCCCATTCTTCAAGATTCCCAATTATAACACCCACTTCCCCAGTCAATAAACTCTAATTGGATCTGGTGTGTCTCCAACATGGAGAAGCCATCAGCATTTTATTATGCAAAAAATATGGCCCTGGCAGCCAATTAGTGGTTCTGTATTCAGTGAAACTGTTACGTCCTCAACAATTAATGTTGGATTAATCAAAGCGATTTTTACTTCTAAAACAGATCTTCAACAGAACTGGCTTTAAAAAAAAGTGGGGTCCCTTACACTAAAGAATTCCAAGCTTAAGACTTATTTCTAAGCCATGAGAGTTGCCATTATCATTCTGGTCTCTTACGTGACAACAGATCACAATTATGAAGTCCTATCAAGAAAGAACTCATTAGGCCTGGCTGCCTTGGCTTTATTAGCTGATAAACAGCAGCGCCTGACAAATAGAGCTCCAGTGACACGCATGGTCCAGCTCTCAGTCTTCCTTTCCTGGCAGGGGCAATGCTTTTTGGGGCTGGATTATTAATTGAGTGCCTCATCATAGAATTGCTACCCCTAGCACCAGGCATCGCTCCTTAATCTGTTCTATGAGACCTCCCCACATTAGACTTTCACTGGGCTCATGTCCTAATTTCCCTAGGCCCACAGAGAGAGACCTCACCTGCCCCAGGAGCAAGCAGCCAGCTGTACAGGTAGCCTGCAGCCAGGGAGTAGTAGAGCACGAGGCCCCGCTGCCCGTTAACCATTTCGAGGATCTGGTCGATGGTGACTGGGGAGTAGGGGTCTGAGTCCTGGTGTCCCGTTTGTCGTTCCACCAGAAGATCAGCAAACGCCCTTGTCCGACCCCTTTCTGCCACAGCCAGGGCTTCATCGTGGTGGCCTAGGAGACAAAGAGTAGGCTGAGGAGACCAGTGTGCACATGCTCACTCAGATGAGCCACAGCCACGGTGGGCACATTGCCCACTCACAGGACCCCATGTTTTACACTCAGCAAGACTGGCCCCATGCCACTTAAGTTACTTGGCCTTCCCTATCTCTGCCAGCACCACCAGATCCCACTTGTTCAGAGCTCCCTAACCAGGCTGTGGCCTCCTGCTGCAGTCCCTTGGCTGCCTGGACAGATGCTTGCCACTCTGGTTATCCTATCAACTCCCGGCTCAACGCTGATCCTGCCATAGAGCTGGTGGATGAGATCTGCCGGCAGCTCTCCTGACAGCCCTCCTAGACACACCCCCATCTCCCAGTTCCTGTGTATCCCACCTACCTGGCCCTCTCGTGGGACCTTTCTCTTCCCACTGACGTTGGCTCAAAAGGAATAACTGTCATTGTTCAGCCTACCACAAAAGGCTACACCAATCAGGGAGGGTTACAACCATGTACATGGCTGAGAGGTGTCCCTTAATCACCTCCTGTATGCCAGGAGCTGTTTCTGTAGGAGCTGACATCAAGGTCTACTGCACTCCCAGGAGCTTCCCTCTTTTCTAGCACCCTGGGCAAAGGTTTTAAACCCCTGAGATCTTGGATCATGATTGCTTTAGAACTGCTGTTTCTTTGAACTCTTCCTCAGCCTTTCAACCCAGGGTCTAATTCCATGTCCTCTAAGAGGCCGTCTGTAATCTAGTTTAAAAGCTGATGCACCTGCAGAAAAGCACAAACTGAAGGCAACCTACTTTCAGGTGAGGCTTTTCTGTGAGAGCTGGGGGGACACCACTTGCCCTGTAAATATAAACTGCAGCTGGGGCCTGAAGAGAGAGCAGGCAGAGGCAGGGAGCAGATGCTGGCTCTGACAGCGCTTCAAAGCTGCCTTGCTTCTATGCATGCTTTGAGCATGCATAGAAAGTGGAGTTTATGGGAGTGCATGCAAATGTCTTCCTTTCTTCTATTAAGTTATTAACTGGAGCAGCAGGGACATTTTCAATGTACACTGGAAAATCAGCCCCAAAGTGCTAGACAGACTTAACATTGTGACTATAACAGGAAATAAATTACAATCCCAGGCAATTTGTAAAAAATCTGCAAAAGCAACTCTCGCGTTTTCCACAGCTAAGGGCAAGTTGGTAAAGGGCTTCAACACCAACTTGTCTTTCTTTGTTTCAGTGAATACCTTTGAGAAAGAGACAGAAGGCAGGAGGCAGGGGAATGAGGAGGAAAAGGGAGCCACAGGCTTCATGACCCCGTGTGTGTCATGACCCTGGGGTGCAGACCCAGAGGCAGAAACATTAACTAGGCAGCAGCTAACGAGGACATGTGGCTGAGAAGAGAGCAGAGGCCAGTGAACTCTCAGGCACTTTTCTGATGCCAAAAACGTGTGGCAGGTGTCAGTGGAGAGAGGGGACACCTGCCCTGGCTCCTGGGCCTGCTACGTGGCTTCCTGTCCCGAGCCTCTCTGGTTAGCCCATCTCCCCATACTGAGCTTCCTGCCTGATGTGGCTATGAGCTACCTGTGTCTTTACTACAATCCCTAGGGCGTGCAATCAGCACACAGTAGGTTCTCTGCCAACTCTGGATACAATGCTGGGTGTGGTCATGGCTCCATGGTCTCCTGTGACATCTCCTACTAAACAACCTGGATGCGTGCGACCCCAGCTCCCTAGCTTCTCCCTCTCACCTAGGCTGACGAGCACCCGCTGCAGGGCCTGGTAGGATGATGTCTGCAGGTCGAACAGGGAGAGTTTGTAGTCGGTGCTCAGCTGCGCCTCGTGCCGGATGGTTTCAAACAAAGCGGATGCTCTGTACAGCTGTAAGGAAAGGCAGAGAATGTCACCATGTCTACAAAGTGGGTCCAGCTGTTCACAGAGTAGAGATGACATGTGCACACACTTGGGCACACACCTACATGGTTTTTATTTCTTAGAGGATCAAGCTGCATTTCCAGTGGGTCCTTGTAGACTTGGTGAGGTATCCCGTCATACCCAGTAAACCATAGTTTGTGTAATCAATTTTTGACTTATAGACAAGGGTATCTAAGATATGGGTTATGGATTTATGAAGTCTCTGAAGAACTCAAGTATTAATCCCAACAGGGCTGACTTTGATTAGAACAAAAAGCCTTCCCTCTTGTCACCAGATGACCATAACCCACCACTTCAGGTCTTCGGGGTACAAAGATGTTGGTGAGGACCAGTGTAATGGGTGAGCTGGAAATGGACAGGCTGGGACAAGGAGACAGAGGCAGCCACTCTGCCGGAGAGTAGGACCTTTGTGGCCCAATCAGATACTGCTTTCTGGGACCAGAGGGTTGCTGGACAGGCCTTCAGAGGTGCCTTCCTCCTCCTCCGCTCTCCCCCTCCACCACCCCACACAGGGAGACATCTGGAGACCCAGGTAACTGACATTCTGAATGGAGACCCTGACCCACTGCTCTGTTTAGCCAAATTGAGAAAGCAGAGTTCTAAGACTGGTACACATAGACTTGGAGAGAGCCACAGGAGAGGAGGGTGCCTCTAACCCTACCTCTTATTTAACAGGTTTTGGAGCCTCAGTTTCTTCCTATCTATCTAGAACAGGCAGTTATTATTTGACTTGCTAAGGTAGTGTGAGGAATAAATTCAGTGAATGGAAAGGACATGTCACTACATCAGTGTGTGTCTTAATTTTTACAACCAGGAAATCATAGTTAATCCTTTAAAGTGCCTTTAATAGATCAGGAGCAGAGCATAGTGCCCAGCACTGGAGGACACGAGGCACAAACTCAGGCATGTCACATCCTCCACCCTCAGGGGCACCTCTGGAATGGAGCCGTGTGTTTATCCTTGGTCCCCTTTGCCTGGCGCAGGGTCCACAGCACCCTTCACGCTACAGAGGGGTGAGTATGATCCCAGACACAGCTGTCTCTATCACTTCAGTTCAACAGAGGAAGCCCAGAATGCCAGGGATCTCAACACTCCAGCTTCTTGTACAAGTGCAGACACAAGGAATTACCATGAGAGGGGGAGAGAGAAGTTATATCTATTATAAAGCTACAAAGACATTTACTCCAGTGACTATGAATTCTTATTTTGCTTCTGTTATGAAGAATGTAATTTCACATTAAAGTTTAATGCAGAGCAGCAGCACATATTACAAGAATTCTAACAAAATTATTGAGAAATTCATCACAGCATGAGTGGGAATCTTTGCTGACGGGAAGCTCAGCACTTCTGGGCTGGTGTGGGCTGGAAATATTGTGCATCAACCTGAGGACGAGGCTGACATGTCTGGGGGAATGCCACCACCACAAAGACAAGCATTCCAAGGCCTTCCAGGCTTTGAGAAACATCTGTACTTGTTCAGGTTCTTCTCCTCACCTGGTGTTGGGCCTCTTCCAGGTTTCCACTAGCCCAAAGGGAGAGGCCAAGACCATGGCGAATTTTTGCCTCATCTTCTCTTCGGCCCAGTTGTTCAGCTAACCTTAAACCTGAAACCAGAGAGAGAAAAATTCAAAGAAACAGAAGACAGATAATTCCACCCTGCTGAGTCTGGGAAGGTTAATTTTGCTTCAGGTGTTTGAAACACAGCCAGAGAGATCATGGGACCAGAGCCCAGTGGCCAAGGCAGAATACACATGCCTTCCAAACCCCACCGTGTGGTGATGTTTCCAGGACACTGGGAAATACCCAGCAGGAGCGGAGGCAGCGGCAATCAGCAGGAGATATGACCATCAGCAGAAGACACGCTTGCAGGGCAGGCGCAAACAGGGGAGACAAATGAAACTAACCTGGCTGTCCTCCCAGACATGAAACTCTTAGCTTTGCAAATGAAAACTATGGGCTGATAAATTTATCTCACCTGATTCTTTGACTGGAAAAAGCTTTTCCTGACAGCCAAGTAGAGATGCTTAGATACTTCTTCCCATCCTCCTATCTAGCTACACAGCAGTCAATCAGCGCTCAGAAGACTCTGAGGTTCTCCGGAAGGCGGAGTATGCACACAGCCCGGCCCTGCTGCTGTTACTGATGGCACCAACACATCTCTCGTCAATCTCCCTTCCTGCATGCCTGAGAATGTGATGTGTCTCAGTGGGGTTGCAAAACAACTGCTGTTATGAGTCAAAAGCCTGAGATGAGACAGTTCTCATTTCAGTGGCCTTCAGATAGGCACCTGCAGTTCAGGTCACCTACCCACAGCAAGCTTCTGGGTTTCGGGACACCAGCCACCTCCAGGGCTTTGTGGGAGCCAGATCTGAAGGCAGTGGTTTATTGTATTGTCAATAAGCCATTCTCAGTCATTTTGCTCTCATTATTGTGTTTTCTGTGCAGAAGCAGCTAGCCAGAGTGGAGGGCGGCCTGAACAGAGAGCAGCCTGTGTGGAAGCAGCACCAGCACACAAAGGCAGGGCTTCCTTCTGCTCTGATCAGCACCTGGGAGCGGCCTCCCTGCAGGCTGGGCCCCTGCAATGCTGACCTCTCAAAGACAGCTGAGTCAGCAGGAGACGGAGGAAAGTGAGGCTCAGGCTCAAGGTCCTTAACATCTTGTACTTCAAAATATACAAGGAGTGGAAAATTCAAACTGCATTTTGAATCCACTTCATGTCCTGAGTAATGACAATATTTGCAAACAATTCCCACGTGAAGAGAGGAAAGATGATGGCTCCTGAGAGAAAACCAGGAGATGCTACTTTTCATCTTCGGCACAGACCCCCACCCCAGTAGTGCCCTCATTTCTGGGTCAAGCCCCCCTTGGAAGCAAGATCTATGAGAGCAGGGACTTTACTCAGCGTCTTCTGGGTCCCCAGAACTCAGGTTACCACTGGTAAATAGCCAGGGGTTCAACAATGAAGACTTCACAAAACACTGGGCAGATGTGGTATGAAGTGCCCAGCTTCTATCCACGTACCTGACCTGTCTCCTTGTCCCCGCCTCCCCTCCCCCCAACATCTCCAGAGCTGTTGGCCCAGGATAAATCTCTAAATGGGTCCAGTCTTCTTCCCTCATTTGCAAAATGAGAAACAGCTGTGGTTTTTCACCATCAGTATCCACCCATATCACCAAATCACATCCATCCACCCTGCCCCTGAAGCTGCATGGCACTGGGGCAGAGGAGAGAGGGGGGATGCCAAACTGAAGCCCCTCCCCTGAAAGCCAGAAACACCTGGGGAGGAGGGCAGATTTTTTTCCAGCTGAACTGGCCCTTCCTTAACAAGAGGCTACAGAATGCCCCCTTCAGGTGCTCTGCAACTGAGCCCGCTCAGAGGTCAAGAAAAAAGGTACCTGGCAAGGCCAACTAGGAAAGGCACAGGTTATAGACTGTCCACAAAATGAACTCTGCAAGATTTATCACAAGGAACAATAAGCATGAGGGAATTTTCCATAAATACAGAACTATACTGCAACATCTCAGGCAAACCAGCTGTTACACAGAAACTGATTCAGGAAGGACTAACAAACATAGTGGCCAGGTTGTCAGATGCTGGGCCTGATTTGAATGGGTTTTACAGATTCAACTGACAGTCACTCCTGGGATGCCGGGATTTTACCACTGCCAAGGGTTGGAAACTGAAAGCCAGCATGTGCACTTGAGGCGGCCTGGCAGAGCCCCGTACCTATGGAGAAGAGTCAGGTATGGTGGGCCGGGCAGTGGCCTGTAGCTTCTTTTTTTTTTTTCATTTATTTTTTGTGAACATACTGTACAGAGGGGTTACAATTACATGGACAGGATAATGCGTACATTTCTTATCAAGCATTGCAGCCTCCTCTCCCTTCCCAGCCCCCCCCCCATAAACCCCCCCCCCCCCGCACCAACTTTGTAAAGCTCATTTTCGACATGAAAACTTGTACTTCTCATTGTTGCAACAGGTAGTGGCCTGTAGCTTCTGTGTGCCCTTCAGTCTGTGCTAGCACAGCCATGTTGGCATGGGGTATTGTGGGGTTCTTGAGGTCAGAAAACTCAGGCTGAGCTCCCCTCTGTGCCTAACCAACCAAGGGGCAGGATCAAACCACTGTATTCCAGGTCTTGGTGACTTAGCTACAAAATAATAATGGGGATAATCTCATTTGCCTCCAGGGGAGGGGCATACCAACTCAGTAAGTAGAGCACTAGAGCAAGCACGAAGCCCTGGGCTTAAACCCCAGCACTGAAAAAACCAGAAACTTCTCTCAAGACAGTTGTGAGAAATAAATCAGCTTGAATAAACTACATATGCAAAGCCCCTTGGAAACAGTTTTTGCTTAAATCTGCAACCATCTGCCTTCAGCAGCCAGTGCAGGGTCCCCTGCGCCCCTCATGCCTGAGGCAGGAGGCCTGTGAGGAGAGGCTGCCAGCCTGAGGGTAGAAGGCAAGCACGATGCTGCAGGACTTAGGCTTAGGACTTCATCCTAGGCCCACTGTGCGCAGGTGGCTTGTGGAACTTGGTGGTGTTGGTGGAAGAGAAGTAGCCAATTTCCAGGCCTGCCTGGAACAAGACAGTGCTGTGGCACTAGCCCAAGCCCTGTACAAGCACCGGGCAGGACGCCTGGCTTGCTGCTCAGTGATCCCCAGACAGCTGCCTCTGGGTTGGACCTCAGCTGCCATGTCAAATCTGACATCTATATAGTTCTAGTATTTTCTAGAGGGTCAATGAGACTTGGAACAGATAGCCATTTCCCCAATTTTGGCTCCTACAGTCTTTTTTTTCTTTTTTAGATCAGAGACTGGGACTTGAACTTGGTACCTGATATACCTGACACTTTCACTCATTGGCTAGCTCTCTACCAATGGAGCCATACTCTCAACCCTGTGGTTTCACGTGATCAGATCTCACTTGACTCATCTGTGTGAGGACATGCCATCTATTCACCAGTCTCGGGTTGCAAAGCTCTTGGCCTGCCATGGACACAATCACCAAGGCAGCATGGCAAGCTGGTTCTGGGCCAGGGGTCCAGACAGCGAAGCACCTTAGCACTATCAAGACTCACACTGAGCTGACAATGAACCCTGAGCCCCAACCCCACAGAGAGGTGGCACGGTGAGACACCCCCCCATCCACAGAGGTGGCACTGAGAGACCCCTACCTACCCCACACAGAGGTGGCAGACACTGTGAACCCACACAGCCCCACGCACAGAGGTGGCACTGTGAGCCTCCCCACCCCCCCACAGGGGAAGGTATTGTGAGCCCCTCACCCCACACAGGGGTGGCCACACAGGGGAGATCCTACCCCACACAGAGGTCATTCCCACTGCATTTCCCCTCTGTGTTGGAGAGATCACACTGGGCCTTTTCACCTACCTTCCTGCAGGTACATGACTGCCTGGGAATAGTTCTGCAAGGCATGGTGGGTCCTTCCGAGGCTGCTATAGGACACTGTCTTGGCCACCAGGTCATTCATCTGTGCGGCGATGCTCAGGTGTTGTTCTTGATAGACCACAGCCCTCTCGAAGGTGCCCAGGGACTCGTAGGTCAGGCCCAGGTTCCCATAGGCTCGGCCCTGGCATGTGGGGTTGTTGGTTTCCTCTGCTATCTGTAGGTCAAGCTGGTGATACTGCAGGGCTGTGTCGTACTCCCCCATCTGCTGGTAGACCCCGCCCAGGCCGCAGGCCGCGTCACTCTCCAGGGCTCGGTCCTTCATCTCTCGCGCAATGTTCAGCTGACGTTCAAGGCAGGAAATGGCTTGTTCATAATTCCCTAATTGGCTGTGCAGACTGCCCAGCTCTCCATAGGCCTGGGCTTTATTGAAGGCCTCTCCGAGCTCGTGGGTGACCACAAGCCTCTTCTCGAAGCACACAAGGGCTTGCTGCAAGCTCCCCATTGCCCTGTGGGAGGAAGACAGAGAAGCAATGGTATCATTTGGTGCAGGTGCAGACATGCTAAAGCCCCTGAGAAAATGAAAAGCATTTGTCACTGTCACTTACTATAGAGGCTCTTAACTCCTCTTCTAGCTAAAATCTATCATGTGCCCTCAGAGTGAGATGCACAGGAATTTCATAATCTGGAAAGCAATTCAAAAGTCATCCCTCGATGACCTTCCCAAGAGCTCGGGACTCAACGGGATGTGCACCCAGAGGGAGCATAAAATATATTAATAGGCACAATGATAGCAGAGGAACGCTTTGGGTCTCCGGGCCTCCCAATTTCCACTACCGCTTAGACTATGTTTTTGAAATCACTTTATAGCAACTGTAAATCTTCCTCTCTGTGCTTCTCGGAGCACTCTGGGTGATGATTTAGTTTGACCTCTGCCCTTCCTTCACTCCAGGAGCCCTAATCCTCTGTCTCTCTGATAAGGCCATATATTCTGTAGACATAGGCACCTTCTTGGGGTCCCCCCACTTGGAGGAAAGCATTTCTTGGCCCACAGTGTGTCTGTCTGCGCTGCTCTGAGATGACAGGATCAAGGGGGGGGATGTGGGCTTTGGCAACAGATCAAACACATTGTGGGGCTACAGTGCTCCTGAGCCTCAGCTTCTGGCGGAGCTAAATCCCAGCTCACAGCAGGTGGAGGTGTGTGCACAGCAACACAGGATTGCTCAGACAGGGTGTCCAGGATGATGCATGGTACATGGGCCACATTTATTTACTCTGTTATCCAATGGCTTTGCTAAGAGCAACACAACAGGGTCGCAGTAATTGGTGGGTATGTGGGGAATGTCATACTAATAAACATCCAGAACAGGTGGGAGGCCCTCAGGAAAGACGGATCAATTTGCTTTCCCATCCTTATTTACTCTTTTCTTCTGCTCATTCTAATGCAGTCCCAAAAGTCCTGCATTTGGAGTTGGAGAGTCCCAAGTTTGCCTCTCAGTTATCTGTTTAAGCTGTGTAATCTTAGGCCTCAGTCCACCCTCTGTGGGCCACAAGTAAGGACAATAATACCTGCTTAACCCCAAAGGTCTTGGAAGGAATCAAGGGAACTATGTGGGAAGAGCCAGGTAGCTAGCAAACTCTGTGCACAGATGCAGCTGCCACCACTCTCACAACCGCTTGTCCTCTGTCATTGTTACCTGTGTCCGTTCCCTAGACCCCGGTAGGCCTTGGCTTGGTCTTGCATGCGATTCAGACTCTGGGCCACTGACAGATACTGCTCATAGTACTTGATGGCCTCCTCGTAGTCCCCTAGGGCCTCGTAGCAATCCCCCAGATTGCCGTAGGCTCGGCCCCTATCCAGCACCGACTCATTCCCACTGAGCTGCTGCAGCATGGCCAGCTGCTGCTCGAAGTAGCCGATGGCATCCTCCATCACGTTCATGTTCATCTTTGTGATGCCCATGTTGCCGTAGACCTGGGCCTCCAGGCTCGGGTCCTTCAGCTTCTGCCCCAGATCCAGCTGCTCTTCGTAACACTTGAATGCCATGGTGTATTTCCCAAGGGCCATGTAGACAGCAGCCAGGTGCCCATGAGCCCGGCACTCGCCCGTCAAGTCGCTCAGCTCCTGATAGACCTCCAGTTCCTGCGTGTGGTACCCCAAGGCTTTGTCGTACTTCTGGACCATCCGGTAGGCAGTGCCCAGGGCAGCATATGCGCTGGCCTCCAGCCTTCTGTCCTTCACGTGGTGAGCCAGGCCCAGCTGTTGCTCATAGAATTTTATTGCACCATTTATATCTTTTTTACAGATGAATATATCGCCCAGGTTCCCTAAGGCTCGAAATTTAGCCTGGGAATTGTTCAAGGACTGGGCAAGGGACAGCAGGTACTTCTGACACTCCTCAGCTTTGCTGAAATTCAGCAGAGCTTTAAATGCCAGGCCCAGGTTGCAGTAGGCTTTCGCTTGGCTCAATTTGTCATGAAGGTCTTTGGCCAGTGCCAGGTCCTGTTCGTAGTACTTCACTGCCTCCTGGTAGTTTCCAAGGCAGTAATGGGCATAGCCAAGATTGTGACAGACCTTCCCTTCTCCTTCCATGTCCTGAAGGTCTGGAGCCAGCCGCAGGTACTGCTCGTAATAGGGGGCAGCCTGGACATACTCCCCCCGAGAGCAGTGGAAGTTTCCCAGGTTGCTGAGGGCCCTAGCCTCGCTCTGGATGTCTCGCAGCTCCCGGGCGATGTTCAAGTGGTTCTGATAGTGCTGCAGGGCCCGGTCATGGGCGCCCAGGGCCTGGTAGGCCACAGCCAGGTTGCCGTGTGTGGAAGCCTGTGAGGCCCGATCATTCACCTCCATGGAGATCTGCAGCTCCTGTCGGTGGTACTTCACGGCCTGGTCATACATGCCCAGGGCATTGTAGGCATTGCCCATGTTCCCGTAGGCGCGACCCTGGGCAGCGTAATCACTCAGCTCTTGTGCGATGCACAGGTGTGTCTTGTGGAGTTTCAGAGCAGCATCATAATCCCCCTTCATCTGGTAGATGATACCTGAGACAGAGAAGAGTAGAATTGCTGGTGAACAATTTAGAAAGCAATGTCATCTGCGACTCCATTTATAGCAAGTACCATCCAGATGAACTCAAGAATTTAAAATAACAGAAGGTAGAGTTAAATATTTACCAACTCTCCAGAGAGAGGATACTTTCCTAAGCTTCAAAGTAACAGGAACAAAACATCGACAGATTTTGATTACAAAAATGAGAAGTTTTATACAACAAATAAACATCCAAAATTAAAAGGCAAACACAACATGGGAAAGCGTGTGGTACCATATGAAAATGTTTAATGGCTACCGTGGATAACATTTCACTCAGTTTGATTTTTAAAAGAAAGAAAAAAGAAAACCCCAATTTACTGAAATAGGCAAAAAGGTAGAAGTGATAGTATACAACTCACAAAGAAGAAATACAAAGAAGGAAGAAAATGCTAATTTCCTTTGATGATTTAAAAAAAACCTACAAAATCAAGAAATGCTCAAGTGCCATTTTCACTCCTCCTAAATTAGCAAATAAAAATGTCAACACCCCCTTTAGTAGCATTGGCTCTGAAATCGGGGAAGACACCTACTGGTAGGGACTTAACCAGGAGCCAACTCTGCACAACTGTGTGGCAGGAGCTACAGGTGTGGCCCTGCCCTGCCCTGACACTTCAGTTCAAGGAACCCTCAGTCAATATCAAGGAGTTCAGCTGCAGACGCAACAGCTAGCTGCTTACAATTTCCCATGATATAGAAGAGGGTGAGTCAGAAACACCATAAATACCCAGCTCTGGGGGATCATGTGAATTTGAGAGAGGGCTGTGGTATACACAAAACTGGGACAAACGTTCAGGAGATGATGATGATGATGATGATGATGATACCTGCTGTTTGTGACAGCTAGGTAAACATGTCAATGGACAAGACCAGGAGGGAGCCAGGCAAAAAGAACCTCAGCTGTCTTGTAGGTGATTGGATTTTAGTGAGTTTGTCCCCAAATGTTTTATAATTCCTCTATACTGCTTCTACAATCAACTCTAATAGTACTTCAGCAACCTCATAAACTACACTTATAGCTACCAAGTTAAGCTATTGGGCTTTTGTTTTTTTCTATTTTGGTATGAGGTTTGAACTAAGGGCCTTGTGCTCTACTACTTGAGCCATGTTGCTGTGCCCCCCTCCCCCATTGCTTGTAGGTACTTTTGTTTGGCTAGCCTGGAACTAAAATTTCCTTGATCTCCATCTTCTGAGTAGCTAGGAATAGTACCATACACTCAGACCTAAGCTGTTGTCTTATAGCAATTCAAGATGAGACAGATCGTAGAGTTCTAAGTTGTAACAGTAACTTGGGTGGCGGTTCACGCTAATGGAGCTGGGATCTCTCAAGAAGGCAGAGGGGCCCAGATGTGCTAACAGGTTCTCTTTCACCTTTGGTTTTGAGCATTTTTCTATATATCAGTGTGGTGTCCAAAATCCACAGAAGTTCAGAGATTTAAGACCACCAGTGTGGTGCTTGTTAAAATGTCTGAACTGGCCTGAGAAAACCAGTGGTCAGAAGCCAGCCCCTGCAAGTAGCTTAACTTCTATACCCTTCACCCACCCATCCACCCCCGAACCCAGAAAAACAGTCACCTGGCACCTTATGGCACTGCAGATGGGCAGCAGGGCAGAGAGGTAAAGACAGGAGATGCCACCCTCACCCTGCACAGAGCCATGGAGGCCACTAGCAGAATCAGGGCTGCTGCACAGGTATGCCAGCCACCTCTTTGACAGCACCTGTACCTCAGATGTTAGAGAAATCATTTGGCCTCTCTAGGTTTTATTTAGCTTATCTGCAAAACAAGGAAACTGAGTGTGACACTGACTTAGAAGGTGGTTGTGTGAATAAAATAACTTATGTTAGTCACTAAATAAACTGTCATATTGCGTGTATGTGTGTGTGTGTGTGTGTGTGTATGTGTTGGTCGGTTATGGGGTTTGAACTCAGAGCCTGGGCACTGTCGTTGAGCCTCTTTGTGCTCAAGGCCAGGGTTCCACTACTTGAACCACAGCACCACTTTTGGTTCTTGAGGCATTAATTGGTGATAGAATTTCCTGCCCAGGATAGCTTCAAACTGCAATCTTCAGATCTCAGCCTCCTAAGTAGCTAGGATCACAGGCGTGAGCCACTGGCGCCCAGCTTCTGTTTTTTAATGAGTAAAATATTTCACAATTTAGTTTGTTTGTTTTGGCATTACTGGGGTTTGAACTTGGTCCTTGCATTCTAGATCCTTGCATGCTCTACCACGGGGGCCATGCCTCACCCTTTTTTGCTCTACCTATTTTCAGGCAAGGCCTTGCATTGTTTTCTCAAGTCTAGCCTCAGCCACAGCTTTCCTACTTATACCTCCCGCACAGCTGGAATGACAGGCTTCCAATTCCATGACTGGCTTATTTGTTGTGATGGGATCCCAACTTTTTTTTTCCCCCTTAGGCCAGCCTCCAAAACATAATCTTCGTGGTCTCCTCCCCACCACGTAGCTGAGATCAAGGGCATTGATCACTGCACTTGGCTTCATAATTTTAAAAACATCCAAATAAATCATGGTATGGCTACATAATGAAATAACATAAGAACATTAAAAATGGTGAAGTAAAATGTTATATATTAACATGGGAAGAAATCTGTTTAGTGGATACATATGGGTATGATACAGTACATTTTAATAAAAGCTGCAATAGAGTTCATATGCATGCATACATGTTTACATCTGTTTGGTAGGATTGCAGGGTTTTTTTCTGTTGGCTTTTCTATATTTTAAATATTTTTTTTCTTTCTACAATGAACACATCACCTTTGGTTACACACAAGGGTTCTGAGCTCCGATCTGATATGAGCAGTAACATACCTGTGGACTGGGGCTAGCCCCTGAGCAGGGCAGGAGATGTCACTAGCTTCTACCTGGAAGTTCATGGCTCTTCAGAACCCATCTCAAGGTTAGGGCTTCCAAGCTTCCAAACAGGGAATAATATCTCAGCTGTACCTGGAACCTTTCAATGATGGGAAAGCAGCTAAAGAAAAACCCGGCATTCCTAAACTATATCTATCTAAAGAGGGGCTTTGGAAATGGATCATCTATACCCTCTCTTTCCCAGCTTCGACATCGCTACAGTGGGGCCACAACATCTGCAGGAGGGAGCAGGAGCTGGGAGTGGGGGCAGCAGGTGCCTGCACCCCTGAGCTGTTTCTTCCAATGGACGCCTGTGCAATGTTTTCCCTGAGAGCTTTTGGGTTTTGTTACCATGATGTTGCTAAGCCAACAGGAGCATTTGTTGGTTGATGAAATAATAAGTGGAAGCGAGCCAGGAGAGACCTTCAGAAAAAGCAAGCCGTCAGCCTGGTTTTCATGTTTGCCTCTCCTGCACCAGAGAAAGGTCTTCCTGCTAGTCCCTCCCCAGTCCTGATCTCCCACCCTGCAGGGGTCTAGCTAAGCACCGGAAACAGAAACAGCTAAAACAGAAACAGCACTAGATGCCCTCTTGTAAAAGCTTGGGGTCCATCACATTCAGCTGAGAGTCAGAGACAGTCACTCAATGTCTGAGCTTTCTTTCTCGAAAATGGTTAGCATTTTTTGTGTGTGTGTGCGTGCATGTGTCTGTATTGGGGCTTGAACTCAGAGCCTCCCATGCTCTCATTTGGTTTTTCTGCTTAAGGCTGGTGCTATTTCACTTGAGCCAAGTCTCTACTTCCAGCTGTTTGTTGGTTAATTGGAGATAAGAGTCTTATGATCTTTTCTGTCCAAGATTTGTCTTTGAACCATGATCTACAGATCGTAGCCTCTTGAGCAGCTAGCATTACAGGTATGAGCCACCAGCATCTAGCTGAAAATTTTATGTTCTTACCTTAAGGTCAGGTTATAATCATCCAAAAGAAACAGACTGGGGAATACTTGTGACAATATGCCTTGTCAACTATTCCTATAACATGGTCTGACCAGTGATTAGAGAGGGAAAAAAGGCCAGGAACTCTGGCCTAGTTAGCAGGAAGGTAATGGCTACCCAGTGTTCACTCATTTGTGAAGGAGCTGCCTGCTGCTTATGGCAAAATGACCTGATCTCCAGCCAGCTTCTGCTCTCTCTCCTCCGCCCTCTCAGCTTACATTTCCATGCTCTGTAAAGAATGCTGCAAAGACTTCCAACGTGAACACAGGCAAGAGTGGAGGAGAAGGCCCCAGCTGAGCGGGGCATTTTTAGCTGCCCTGGGTTGCTCCCATGGTAGGTGCCACACTGCCAGCCTGAGGATTGTGAACGGAACGTTACACACTCTTGGCAGCCCTTCTCTTTGTTGAGACAACATGAAAGTGTCCTGCGAGCTGCCAGCAAGTGACTGCGCACGCTGAGGGGATAATGTGCAGGCCCTCCTTCCCTTTCAAGCCCGCAGCTGGATTCTCCAGGACTGTCACTCAGATGAAGACTTACAGAGAGTCTGTCAGCAGGGCAAGAGGTGACGACATGCTGCAGGGAGGGGCAGCGAATGATGATTAGTGGGGCAGGGGACCCTTGCATGGCCAGTCTCGTCAAGGCACGCGGAGAAAGCACACAGGGCCACAGCAGGCTTCTGCCTAGAAGCCAGGGCTGTAGAACAATGAGCTGTGGTGAGGGCCAAGGACTTGCGGGCCACTAGTGCTTGGGACTTAGTCCATTCTGCTTTTATTAGCCATCTTAGTCAGGAAGGCCCAGCTAAGCAGAAGGCACGTCTATGAAAACTGCAACATGTAGCAGCGAATTCCACCTGCCTTCTCTCCTCTTTCTCAGGGTAGTGCCTCCTCGCACCTCCACAAACCCAAATGGGGCTTTAGAGCTGACCTAGTCTTCAAGCAGGTTAAAGTGCTGCTCTGTCCTGGTGAACTGCCAGCTTTTCCGAGGAAGTCAGAAGGCTCAGGAGAGGAGGAGGCCCTCCCACACTCTGTGAGTGACAGGAGAGAAGCCCAGTAAGAGGAGGGGAGTTAGTGGAAGATCACAGAGCAAGAAT